TGGATGCAGGGTTGAAGGAGCGTCTCCACCCCCATCATTCAGCCCTTCTGGCGGTTCCCTCCCTGCCAAAAGTGAAGTTACAGGGAACCAGGCAGAGGGCCTTCTCAGTAGTGGCGCCTGCCCTGCGGAATGCCCTCCCACCAGATGTCAAGGAAATAAACAACTATCTGACTTTTAGAAGACATCTGATGGCAGCCCTGTTTACGGAAGTTTTTAATGATTGATGTTTTAATGTATTTTTAATATTTTGTTGGAAGCCACCCAGAGTGGGAAACCCAGCCAGATGGGCAGGGTATAAATAAATTATTATTATTATTATTATTATTATTATTATTAGGGGGGAAGCAACAACGAATTGCTGCCATGTAGCAGCAAACTCAGGGTCTGTTAATAAATGGCCTGGGTAAATATAGACATTTTTAGCTGGCACCAAAACCCCACAAAGATTTGTCGCTGTTCAAATCTCTACACTGAGAATGCCATTTCCCGTGTCACCACATATTTAGTTTTAGCATTGGGGGTGGCATCCCCAGCATTTCTTAGCAAGCGGGTAAGTTAGTCAGGGAGAAGGCACTTTTGGGGATGGTGGCCTGTGGCAACCCCAGATGCCGGTGGACTACAAATCCCATCATTCTTGGCCACTGACCATACTGACAGGCGTCTGAGCCCAACAACAGGCTCACCCTGTCCGATCTGGGTCCCACGCTGCTGCTCCGAGCTTTGCAGGTTAATATGCAAGTGCCTTGGACCTGGGCTTGTGTGCATGCCCACTTGTCTGATCTGCAGGCTACAAAGGGAGGGGGAAAGCAAACAAGCAACGTATACACACAGAGAGAAAGGGCCCGTTTATTCAGCAGCGCCGGGCCTTGCCCTGCTGCACCCTTTTGGATCCGCAGCAAACCAGCAGGTGATCCGCGCCGATCTCCACGCCGGCTAAGCAGCAGCTCCTGCGGGCTTAATTCCTGCAGGTCAGCGCCGCCATTTAAAGGCAAACGCCTATAGGGAAGGCGATGTGAAGATCTGACAGTTCTGGACTCACTGGTCGCTTTCTTCTCTGGAAATCAGCCCTTTTGCAAACCACTTGCTCCCAGGCTGAACTTGATGGTTGCAAGGAAATAAGATTTCAGTTTGCATCCTCCGTCCAAGTCCAGTTTTTTTCTGCTCTCTGAAAAGCAGCAAGAAATCCCCCCCCCTTTGTAATTATTTACTCACCTTTCCTCCAAATGCACCGACCTCCCCCAACAATACTACTCCTGGGAAATCCCAAAGCCAATTTTTTTTTCTTTTTCTTTCTCCCCAGGGTAGCTAGAACAGAACAGGAAGGTGCGTCCAGTATTTAAATCCCCCCAAAAAAACTCTCTCCAAGAGTCCTGGGCCTCTCTAGGCAATGGGGGAGTCTCTAGGTTTAACCCTTGGAGCGCCTCGCCCGAGAGACAAGAGACGGAGGAGGAGGAGGAGAAAAACCAAGGAGGACAACTTCTTTTTTTCTAGGTTTGCGGCAAGTAAAACAAAACAACACAACGCAACTTTATCCTTCCTGCACAAAAGCAGGCACTGAAGCTACAATCCCAGGGTTGCAATAATATAATATTATATAATATTAACAATAACAAGAATATTAACAATAATATACCATTTTTTAAAAATCAGAACTTTCCAAGGATAAATAAAACAAGTTGAAAAGCATTTGGATTAGGGCATTTGCCGCTTAGTGGCTCCTCGCTTTGTTAGGCGTGGGGTTAAAGCGGTTAAATGGACTGAGCTGAGATTCCTAGAGGGACCCCGGTTTATTTATCAGCGCTCCCTTCCTTTTCCTGCCGCTGCCTCTCTATGGCTTGATAATAATAATAAATAATAATAATAAAAAGGAGAAGCAGCCTTTTGCATGGTCTAAACTTGGGTGGATCTGTGGGATCTCCTGCAAGGGAGAAGCTGCAGCAGAGACAGAGGCTGGAAAGAGGTGAGTGGTTGCAGGGGGATGAAAGAAAGGGGAGAGATCAGAGGGGAGAGCAAAGATCTGGTGCTTTGCAGGGCAGAAGATAGACGTCCCCAAACACTCGCTGTGGGTGAGGGGGTGGCTGGGTGGGTGAAATCTGTGGCCCTTCAGATGTTGGGCTCCCAGCTCCCATCAGCCCCCAGTCAGCACAGGCAACATAGCTAGGGAGGGTGGGGGCTGTAGCGCAACATCTAGAGATCCACAGCTTCCTCCATGCCTGCCCCTAACTCGAAGGTTGTCTGTCCAGCTGCCCCCCCCCGAGGCCTGCCCCTCTGCCTAGCCTCGGGAAGGGCTGTGGCTGGGTGGAAAGGGCATCTGTTTGGCATTCAGAAGGTTATAGGTTCAGTCATCAAGGGCAACTCCAGACTGACCAGTTCACTTCTACATAAAAGGGTGGCTGTTGCATTTAACTCTTATTGCAGAGAATTTAGGCCATTAAAACACAGAAAAAATCTTGTGTGTTACGGGGTTTACTTTAGGTTTCCCGTGGTCGTCAAGAGGCTTTAAAGGGAGTCCAAAAACAGTTACAATATAAAAAAAAACAACTCAGGAAGTTAAAGATTGGGAAAAGGCTTACTTTAGCTTTGAGGGTTTTTTTTTCTTTAAAAAAAAGAATAAAGTGGTGTATAAATTTTATGAAATAAATTGTGTTTCTCATATATTTCCCATAGTACATTAAACAATGCCAAGACAGCGCACGTTTCCTATTTCTGAGGTGACCCCTTTGCTTGTTGAAGAAAGGGAAGCAATACTGCAGGAGAATGGAAAAATTTCTGGAAGAAACCACATGGTTTGGCGAAGACTTAGTGAGAAACTTGCAAAGAAGAAAATCAACATTACTGCATACAATCTGTACCTAGCTGTCCTCGGGGGTCGCTATGAGGTCTACCAGACCTTGGGAAATTGTACAGAACCTGTTGCTTCTGACCGGGGAAATCATGAGCATTCATCAGCTTTATCCTCTGATGAGTCCAGAGACCACAATATGGATGGAAGCACTGACGAAAGCGAGGAGGAGGAGGAGTACTTTTTGAGCAACCAAAAAATTGTTGATGAAACTCTGGACAGAAAGAAATTCACAGTCACATTTTCTACAGAGGAATGGGCTGAGATTTCACCAGAAGATTTGACATTACAGGAGCAGGAGAGAGAACTCCATTCGAACCTACAGTATAGGTATGGACTCACAAGCTAAATATTCATGTGTGGTCTCATTTGGAATTGCCGTGCAAGGTAAGATGTAAGGGAGGTAAGGTCTCTGTGTTAGACCGGGCACAAAAATACAGTGGTACCTCGGGTTACATATGCTTCAGGTTACATACGCTTCAGGTTACAGACTCTGCCAACCCAGAAATAGTACCTCGAGTTAAGAAACTTTGCTTCAGGATGAGAACAGAAATCGTGCTCTGGCGGTGCAGCGGCAGCAGGAGGCCCCATTAGCTAAAGTGGTGCTTCAGGTTAAGAACAGTTTCAGGTTAAGTACGGACCTCCGGAACGAATTAAGTACCGTATTTTTCGCTCTATAAGATGCACCAGACCACAAGACGCACCTAATTTTTGGAGGAGGAAAACAAGAAAAAAAATATTCTGAATCTCAGAAGCCAGAACAGCAAGAGGGATCGCTGCACAGTGAAAGCAGCAATCCCTCTTTCTGTTCTGGCTTCTGGGATAGCTGCACAGCCTGCATTCGCTCCATAAGACGCACACACATTTCCCCTTACTTTTTAGGAGGGAAAAAGTGAGTCTTATACAGCAAAAAATATGGTACTTGACCCGAGGTACCACTGTATTTGAAAGTGACAGGAGAATGCTCGTTTTGCAAGTCACAGTTTATTGGATGCATTAAAGCAATGCCTCCAGCAGAAGGCCCAGTAGTAATGCAATGTTCTTACAAGGGGCGCTTCAGTGATAAGCATCAACCAAACCTGAAAAGAAAACTCTCTTGAGTTGCAAAATATAAAAAAAAAATTAAAAATTGTCCAGTAGCACCTTAGAGACCAACTAAGTTTGTTCTGGGTATAAGCTTTTGTGTGCATGCACACTTTTTTGGTATCTGAAGAAGTGTGCATGCACACGAAAACTTATACTCAGAACAAACTTAGTTGGTCTCTAAGGGGCTACTGAACAATTTTTTTTATTTTTATATATATTTTGACTGTGTCAGACCAACACAGCTACCTACCTGAATCTGGAGTTGCAAGAGAGAGAGAGCATTTTTAAAAAGGCAAATGAAAATATGTCAGCAACTGCTCTTTCTCACCAATATCCAGATGACAGTATAACATTTGGTGATCCTGAACCTAGTCATCTGTCTACAAGTAATGTCTTGCAGGTAGCAAAGTGCAAAGCTCTGAAGGGAACTCACCTGCAGGGGTTTTTTTGCGGGGGTTTTGCTGTAATACTTTTGCCAAAGTTTTGCGCCAGTTTGGAGTGAATTGGACGAGGTTGGGTTTTTGGTGACCACCAGGTTTGAGTGTCAATTGCTCCGTTTGTGGGGCCCTGCAAAATGCGGGGGGGGGGGTAGAGAGAGTTGCTGCAAAACGTTTGCCAAAAGTGAATCGGACAACGTTGGATTTGGGAGCATCAAGTACAAACCCCACTTTGAAGTATCAGTTACTTTGTGGGGAGCTGCAAGATGCAGGGTTTTCACTGCAAAATGACTTTGACACCAGTTTTGAGGGGATCCCAGATTTTGGTGTTTGTAGTTAACACAGCTGAAAAGGCTGACACTTGGAGGGGCTGTGGTATGAATGTTACTGGAGATGTTTTTTACCTGTAACTGTTTTTAGAATGCATCCCTGTGAATGTGCTTGCTGTCCTGGCTCCTTGTAGAGGAAGGGTGGGATATCAGTTCAAATAAAATAAATCAATAATAATTTGGGTTCTTCAATGACAGTGATGGGCAGTAGATTCAGGACAGGTCAGAAGCAAGGACGACTTCACACACTCCCTTTTTGTTTGCTTGCTTTCAGAACTTGAGAAGAAATTTTCAGAACCAAACAAAATGGAAGAACTGGGCCTAGCGGGCCCTGAGGCCAAAGGAATTGGAGGCAGGAGGACAAGATCTTTGTGTTGTTCAGGTTGGGACCGTCCAGGAGCTTCTGACCAGGGCAGCCCCACCACAAATTAAAAAGGAACCAGATGAGGCACTTCAACAGCACTGGGAGACCCAGTGGCAGGAGTTCCTGAGGAGGATGCAGTCTCCTCAGGCGGGATGGGGGCGGCAAAGTCCACGTCTGCCTCAGCTCTGGTCAAAGGACGATGCTGAGGACTTCCAGGCCTCTGTCAAGGCCATTGTGGATACCATCTGGTGGCCTGCAGGAGAGCACATGGCCCAACCCTTGCCAGGCCTACTCAGAGAGTCCAATGAGGTCGGTCAAAGGCTGGATCCTTCTGTGAAAGTGAAGGAAGAGGTTCCGGATGAGGAAGACACCGCCAGTTTGGAGTTGCGTTGCCGGTGCTTCCGGCAGTTTGGCTACAAGGAGGCTGGGGGGCCCCGAGAGGGCTTGAGCCAACTCCGTGAACTTTGCCACCGGTGGCTGGCACCGGATGCACACACCAAAGAGCAGATTCTGGATCTGGTGATCTTGGAGCAGTTCCTGGCCATCCTGCCTCCGGAAATGCAGAGCTGGGTGAGAGAACGGGGCCCCGAGACCTGCGCCCGAGCGGTGGCTCTGGCAGAGGATTTCTTGCTGAGGCTGTGTGAGGTCAAGGTGCCGGGACGAAAGGTGAGGGTACTCAGTGTGGCTAAATTGCCAGGAGTTCTGTTCCTCCATCTCAATAGCCCCCTTTATATCTTGGTCTTCTAGAGAGGTAAAGCCAGAAAGGAGAGACGACTGGAGCTGTCCCCAGGTTGTTGGCTTTCGCTGGTAGCCAGGGAAGCTGGTGCCCCTTGCCGCACCTTTTCCCCTTCAATTCAAGCTCTGTCATCTCTCCCTTAAGAAAAAGCGCAAGCAAAATGGAAAGAGGAGCTTGCCCTCAAAGGAAATGGCTCCCTAGGTTTCTGAGTAGTGGCATCACAAAACCATTCATTTCTCGTTCCAGGTACAGGGGCCTTTGGACAAGGCGGCTGCTAATTCCCCCAAGGCAGAATGGGATCCGTCGAATGCTGTGGAGTCCAGTGCCATGGAGTCGCCTTTGCCTATGGAGGTCAAGCCGGAGGAGGATGGTGAGGCCAGCTTGCTGGGTAAAGGTTTATTACCGTATTGGCCCGAATGTAGGCCGCACCCGAATATAAGCCGCACCTTTAAAATTCAAGGGGCAAAAAGAAAAAAAGACAATACCCAAATATAAATCACTCCCTTAAAATTCTGCAGGCACTCACACCTGTTCCGTTTTACCGCATGTCTGTTTCAGCAGCGATATTGTAGAAGCCCATTTTTGTAAGGTTGCGAATTTAAGCCGCACTTTAACTTTTCATGGTCAGAATTTGGGTGGAGAGGGAAGTGAGGCTTATATTCAGGCCAATACGGTAATTAACATTGTATTTATTTTAAGCATTTGTACCTTGGGATGCACTGGGAATGGTTTCCAGAACAGCTTAAAGATTGTCACTGCCCTCATAGACTCATAGTCTAAAATACATGCTATGTTATGTTTTATTTATATATTTGCAGGAATATTTCTAAACCACCAACCAAAAAAAAATGACTACGACTATGATGATGTGTAATATACATGTTAAAGCATCATAAAATTATAGAACCAGACAATTATTCATATACTGCTTTGCGGGCCAAAGACTCCCGAGTCGTGAACGTTACATTAATACACAAGTAAGATACAATAAAAAAGGGACCATGGTGGCGCTGTGGGTTAAACCACAGAGCCTAGGACTTGCTGATCAGAAGGTTGGTGGTTCGAATCCCCGTGACGGGGTGAGCTCCCGTTGCTCGGTCCCTGCTCCTGCCAACCTAGTAGTTCGAAAGGACGTCAAAGTGCAAGTAGATAAATAGGTCCCGCTCTGGCGGGAAGGTAAACGGTGTTTCCGTGAGCTGCTCTGGTTCACCAGAAGCGGCTTAATCATGCTGGCCACGACCCGGAAGCTGTACGCCGGCTCCCTCGGCCAGTAAAGCGAGATGAGCACTGCAACCCCAGTCGGCCACGACTGGACCTAATGGTCAGGGGTTCTTTTTAAGATACAGTAAAAGTATAATAAATCAGTCAAAACAATATAGCATAACAAAAATACTTGAGATGAAAGGGGAAAGGGGGGAGGAGGGGCAGAAGCACAGAGCTAGGTTTTTGTTCTTACAGCTACGTTTCTTATAGCTACCAGGTTGGATAAAAACAGGTCAAGATTCCTAATGGAATGACTGCAGTTAGGTAGCAATTAAGAATGGGAAAACATTTTTTTTCTATTTCCGCTGTATTTGTCGTATGCGGTGCCCTTTCTGTTCTGCTACAGTTTGCCTCCTGCCAAAAACTACATTATTTGTCTCACTTCCCTTTGTGCTGAAATTACATATATTACATAAATTAGGTTGCCATTAATGTTATTCCACCCTGTTCGTTTCAGTGCAAAGGAAACACAATGCATATGGGCAAAAACACATCATTGATGATTTAGAATCATAGAACTATAGAGGGTCTCCTGACTTGTCTCCTTAATTCTTTGTTCCAGAAGCTGATGGGCACATTTGGATGGACTTTGGATTGAAAAGACACAAGAAAGTTGATGGGATGCCATTGACAGGAGCCCAAGGCGGGTTACCACAGGGTCTGGAGGAGCTAGAAGAGGCACCAGGGAGACAGATGTGCCCCTCAGAACAGCCAGAGGAGACAGAAGGCCGAGCTTTCCTGTATAGCAAAGGTTTCAATGTGTGTCCCTCCCAAAAGGGCTTTTTGAAAGTTGTGGGAGAGAAAACAGGCACCAGCAGCAAGAAAAGCTGCCCTCTGAGAGCGGACCTTCCCAAGAAAGCCCAGAAGATGTACGAATGCGCCTATTGTGGCAAAATCTGCAACAACAGCGCTCACCTGGTGATCCACGAGAGAATCCACACGGGCGAGAAGCCGCATAAATGCTCCGAGTGTGGGAAAAGCTTCACCCAGAAAGGAAACCTTACCACACACAAGAGAATCCACATGGGGGAGAAGCCCCACGAGTGCCGGGACTGCGGGAAAAGCTTCAGTCGGAGGCAACAGCTCGTGAGGCACGAGAGGATCCACTCGGGAGAGAAGCCCTACAGATGCGCCGTCTGCGGGAAAAGCTTCTGCCGGAAGGACTCTCTCATCACCCACAAGGGGACCCATGCGCGGGAGAAGCCCTTCGAGTGCTCTGACTTTGGGGAAGGCTTCCCTTCCAATGCTGGACTTCAAAAAACGTAATATATCCATGCACACCAGGTCATAGACATGTTCATAACGGGGGATTTGACTGTACGGACATCCATGACTGGAGTGTCAGGCTGGGACTGGTGTGACACTCTGCCTGGCCTACCTCATAGGGTTGGTGTGAGGCTCAAATGGGCAGTGGTGGAACACTGTGTGCTGCCCTAAGCTCCTTAGAGCAACCTCCCCAAACCTGCTGCCCTATGGATATTTTTTGGGACTACAACTCCCCAGGTCAGGAAGGGGGGGTGCTTTAATGAGAGGGGGGGAAACCCTGCTAACCCTGCCAAAGGCATCCCTGTTCTCACAAGGGCCAAACTTGGGGAAAGCATTCCTTTTGGGTGGTGGGGGGCTGGGACCCCCCAATCTCCTGGGTGCAAGAGTGCTGTCTCCCCACTTGTGATTCCCAGTAATTGCGTATACAGCGGCATACTGCCTCCAAAATACTTCAGTTGTTGGTAATAGCCATGAATAGGCCGCTAATGGAATTGCCTAACCTTCTTTAAACAAATTGTTTTTATTAAATATTTTTGGGTTACATAAGTACATACATCGCCTCTGAAGAAGAGAAGAAGAAGAGTTTGGATTTGATATCCCGCTTTATCACTACCCTAAGGAGTCTCAAAGCAGCTAACATTCTCCTTTCCCTTCCTCCCCCACAACAAACACTCTGTGAGGTGAGTGGGGCTGAGAGACTTCAGAGAAGTGTGACTGGCCCAAGGTCACCCAGCAGCTGCATGTGGAGGAGCGGAGACGCAAACCCGGTTCCACAGATTACGAGACTACCACTCTTAACCACTACACGACACTGGCTCTCTGTGTTCAGATCATAAAGTCCTTTCTACAGATCAGTTATATTTGATGTGAGACGTTAAACGTTAAAGTCATCCTGGTTGGTGGCCATCACTGCCTTTTGTGGGATTGTGAATGTGTGTAGCAACTGCCCAGCTATACAAAGGTAAAATTCACATCTGTTGCTCTGTCCACTTTTTCCTCTGGCCCTGACCAGAACAGAACGCTGCCCTTGGTCAGCAAAGAGTCCCCCATCCCTGCTCCAGCTCTATTATAATTATTTATTATTATAAGAATTATTATTTATTATTATTATTATTATTACTTTTCAGACACCACACACACTTCAGATATATACATTTAACTGATTTTACAATCATTTTGAAATTTCAAAACTTGACTTCCTTCCCCCACTTTCTGCGGCTCCTTAAATGTATTTTTAATATCTTCTGCATATCCAAATTAACTTCAATTTGTTCACTTATTCATCTTCTTTAAATGTATACTCTTATGAAGCTGCAGGTTATTACAATAATCCTGCCAATGTTTTTATCTGTAAATATTCAATAAACCATTTCCATTCTTTTGTAAAAAGATTGTTATCTTGATTTCTTATTCTTCGGGTAAGTTTCACCATATCAGCATATTCCATAAGTTTTTGTATCCATTCTTCCTTTGCTGGAACTTCTTCTTTAATTTTTGGACAAGTAACATTTTTGCCACTGTAGTCACATACATGACAAGTTTTAGGTAGTTCTGTCCCTATAATTCCCAAGAGAAAAGCTTGGGGGGGGTTATTTAAAAAACTCTGCTTCGGCTCTTTGTAAACATATTCACAACCCCACCCACCACCCTGTCCTGGTTGACAGGACTGTGCAGGGAATAAATAAAGACCTAGGTGTTAAAAGTGGGTTGAAAAAGGCTGAGGGGTGGGAAAGAATGTGACGAGGAAAATTTTACTTAGGAACTTTGAGTCTCAGAAATAAAAGGCCTGAGCATGTACAGAGGGCACCTCCCTTTTCAACAAGGAACCTCTATGTTTCATAAGATTATTCCACTGGTACCACTGTATCTGCAAACATGACATGAAGGCTGGCAACATTAACCCCTGGAGGGACGTCAGCCAAGTCCCCAGAAGGAGCACGCTCCGGAGAGGCCACAGGCGCAAAGGGAGAGCAGGGAGTGAGAGCGGGGTTCTCCCGTTGCAATTCCTCCCTTCTCCTTTCCTGTATTGGTCTCTACAGCCACAGCAGGCGCTGTAATCTTCTGAGTTTGACTTAAGCCCCAAAGGCTCACTCATCCATTGTCTCCCGAGACAGATTGGGGCCAGCTTCGAATATATTAAAATAGTGGGTAGAATGCATTTTTCTTTTTCCTTTTTTGACTATGATCCTCAGCCAATATTTACCCAGTCAGAGCTCTCAGCACTCATCCCACTCCAACACAAAGTACAAACACTCCCAGGATATATACATATTCCTTTTATTGTGTAATTGTGATTACCGTATTTTTCGCCCTATAGGACGCACCGGCCCATAGGACGCACCTAGTTTTCAGGGGGGAAATCAAGGGAAAAAATATGATTTCCCCCCCGCAGCTCTGGGAGCAGTGGACAGGCTGCACGCAGCCTGTGCGCTACTCCAAGACCTTCTCCCTGCTTTTGCGGGAGGTGGGGGAATTCCCCCATCTCCCGCAAAAGCCCACAGGAGGGAGAAGGGACGGACTCGGCCAGTCAGTCCCTTCTCCCTCCTTGGGGAAAAGCCCCCAAGAGCTGCGCGCTCTTTAAAGGCTGCGCGGCTCTTGCAGGCTTTTCTGCGATGTGGAGGAATTCCCCCACCTCCTAGAAAAGCCAGCAAAGCCTCGCAGCCCCTTTAAAGAGCGCGAGGCTTTTGCGGGCTTTTGCGGGAGGTGGGGGAATTCCCCCATCTCCCACAAAAGCCCAAAGGAGGGTTGGAGAGTAGCTGGAAGGCGTCGCGCGCCTTCCTGCTGCCCCCATCCACTGGGGCTGGCGATGGGGGAAGCGCTGCTTTCCCCACCGCCAGCCTCGAAGCCGGGGTGGAGAGTAGCGGCAAGGTGTCGCGCGCCTTCCTGCTGCCCCCCATCCACTGGGGCTGGCGATGGGGGAAGCGCTGCTTTCCCCACCGCCAGCCTCGAAGCCGGGGTGGAGAGTAGCGGCAAGGCGTTGCGCGCCTTCCTGCTGCCCCCCATCCTCTGGGGCTGGCGGTGGGGAAAGCGCTGCTTTCCCCACCGCCAGCCTCGAAGCCGGGGTGGAGAGTAGCGGCAAGGCGTCGCGCGCCTTCTTGCTGCCCCCCATCCTCTGGGGCTGGCGATGGGGGAAGCGCTGCTTTCCCCACCACCAGCCTTGAAGCCGGGGTGGAGAGTAGCGGCAAGGCGTCGCGCGCCTTCCTGCTGCCCCCCATCCTCTGGGGCTGGCGATGGGGGAAGCGCTGCTTTCCCCCACCACCAGCCTCAAAGAGCAGACTCTCCTGGCTTCAGCGGCAGCAACGCGAAGCCTCCGGAGTGCAGGCTTTGGAGGCTTCGCGTTGCTATCGCTGAAGCCAAGGAGTCTGCATTTGCCCCATAAGACGCACACACATTTCCCCTTCATTTTTGGAGGGGAAAAAGTGTGTCTTATAGGGCGAAAAATACGGTATATCACAGCATAATGCTCTCTGGGAACTCATGCATGCAATCCCAGTTTCAAGACCATTTCTGCCTACAAATGTTTGCAGTGGTCATAACTTCTTCATTTCTTATCAGTCCATGTCCTGTTGCTTCCTTCAGAAATCCCATAAATTTTCATGCCAGAAATGTTCTGTTGTGATTTTCTATTTGGTCCCCTTTTGTTTCATTACAGTCCAGGAGCGCCCTTCCAAATGGCAATAACAGAGAAACATTCTGGAAATATTGCAGAATAGCTACTGAAGCACAGTGGATGTGTGGACAGTCCAGCATCAATCCACGACTAAGGCACTATTATTGCATCAATGACACATCACATTTTACACCCACAAAAAGTTGAGGGGCTCCTCAACATCCTGCAATGGAGGTTTAGGAGCTTTTCTTTAATACTGCTTCCTTTTTCAACTTGCATATACCTCCCAAATAACCAAAATTTGAAATCCATAAAATACAAAAAGAAAAATGATTGAAAATAATACAAAAGCTGTTCGCCCCCCAAAATTATGTAAAACCATAACGGCAGCATAAGATCATGGACAATTAACAGAGCATCAAAAACCAGCAATAGAGAAAACAATGTATTTTTAAAGATTAAAGTATATTTAGTTACTAAAAGCCAGGGGGTGGGGGAGATCCTGCCGATTTTGAAATAAATGTCATTGGTTGTGCATCCCATTAACTAAGTTGGGGACCACAGCAAAGTCTCCATGTGCCTTACATAGGGCACACATAGCCAAGTTGCTAGACTACAACTCCCATCATCTCTGACTCCTGACCATGCTGGTAGGGGCTGATGGGAGTTGTAGTCCAACATCATCCAGGACACACCATGTTGGCTACCCCTGATGCAGAGAATCCAGCTGTTAATACAAAAGATTAATGAAGCAATCCTAAAAAACAGTGAGCCAGAGGCCTCACAGAATTCAGAGATACTTATGTCTGAGGAAGTATAGAGGTGGTGAGGATAAAATTTGCAGGGGGGGGGTTAGGTTGGTGCTTTGGTTGGAAGGAAATGCAAGCAATACGTGTGAGGTAACAACTTAAAATGAGCTTTAGTAGCAAAAGTGGAAAGGGACTGTTTTCTCGGAATACGTGTGTATTTTAACAGTTGGTGTAGGTAAACAATGAAAAGCGGGTTAAAGTTGGTGGAGACTGAACCCATTTGATGAACCGATTGTTAATTGACACAGTTAAAGTGTTATGGTCTGTTAAGGACTCAGCTGAAGAGGAAATTCTGGGAAAGGGAAGGAAAGAGAAAATCCCAAGTTTTGTTTCTTTTCTTATTTCTGCTGATTGTGACTCCTCTCAAAAGTTCTCTGCAAAGAGATCAAAACTGGCAAATGTTTTCTTTTTCTTTTTTTAAGAAATATTTATTGAAGTTTTACAAAAACATGAATACAAAAACACATAATAAAAGAAAAAAGAAAAATAAAGATACAACATACAAAAGCAAAAAAAAATAAGAAAAATTAAAAACAATTCCATTTTTCATAACTTAAAACTCATTTGCTTGTTTCTTTGACCTCCTCACACCTCCCCTTCTTGTATTCCCATTTAAATAATCAAATCAGCAAATCCTTACCCTCTTTCATTTATCTTAACTCTATATCTTAACATTTTATAACTCTATATTTTCATCCATTATCAATTCATTTTTGCATATTCTTATTAACAAAATTGGCAAATGTTTTCATCTCAGTCATTCTGGTGTAGAAAGAAACTCCAACTGGGCCTGAGAGACAGATTTCGTCTCCTCAGGAGATGCTGAGGTGGGTTTGATATGCCCGCAGATAAAAAAAAGGGAGGAGGATCTCTCCGGAGAATGAGGCCCCTGTGAATGTGTGGAGTTCGGCTCCTGAGTCAGCATCAGAAAAAGACACACTTCCCCCTTCATAGTCCAGAGTCACCCGGATCCTCCTGGGCTCCTCACTCAGGAACAGAGGAGAGGAAACAGGGGAAGTGTAAACTGAGTACTCACCATCATCCATCCCCACAGCCCAGATCCCTCCCTTAGGGCTTAAGGGGAAGATGCCCTTTCTCCTCACAGACTTCCTGGCAACCCCAGAGCCCACCATTTCCCACTTTCCACATTGACTTCCCAGAAATGTCTGCCTGCTGTGAATCCCTCACGTCCTAACACACACGGCTGGCTGCTGAATCTTTCAGGATATTTGGGCAGGTCTTGAGATTTGTCTCTCCTTCTCACGCTTTTCCGATTCCTGGACAGGATGAGCCTGGGATAGGCTGTGTCTAGATCCAGAATGACATTTGCTGTTGAGGAATAAATGAGGAAAAGAGAAGAAATGCAGAATCAGCTGAGACAGAGATTGACATCCTGACCAGATTTCCTCTCAGATAAATGGGTCGTCCTCACATTTCATTCAGCATTGGGACACTCCCCTCTTTCTCCCAGATGCACCTCAAAATATATACCTTCCCCGTGGGTTTTTAAATAATGTTTTTTGTTCCTTTTTCCTCAACGTATTTTATTTCCCTGCCCACCCCCACCCTCAGCTCTTCTATGAAGTAAAGGAGAGAAGGTATAGAGGGGCAAGAGGAGAAAAAGGGTGCTCCTTTGAATCTCTCTGTGTGAATTGTCCAGAGGCTTACACTCAAAGCAGAGAGAAGAAATCTATGTAGGCAACCTAACAAATGTCCTTCCCTTACAAACCTCCAGCATTGTTTTCTTACAACAATGATACCACTACACAAACATTTGTTGGCCTAAAGGAGGCTAAAGGCTATCTAACTAAGAGTTAAAAGATTTAGACTTTGGCAACAATAATCCTAAAACTCCTTTAATATCCTGAAAACACACCTGTATTTTTATATTTAAGCATCTTGAAATAAGCTATGTAGAAACTGAACTTGGCAGTTTTACCACCTCAAGGACAAGTTGGCTGTAGTGAGAGTCTACTGGCTAATGCCTATGCCATCCCTCACATACAGGATGTTTATATTACTGTGTTCCGATATGTAGGGTTGTTATCCTTCTGGTCTTTCTCTTTGCTGTGTGATGCTGAAGAGGGAGGGAGCTGAAATGGGAAGCTCCGAGTGTTTATATGTAAATAAAGTAGTTCAGCGAAAATGTTGTGCTGCTGTGTCTGTCTGGCTGGACTGCTGTTGCCCAACTCTGCTGAGAGCTAAGAAGTATGCTGACATCCTAAAGGGGTCAGCCGCTGAGATGTTTGGGCTGGAGAAGAAGTACAAATCTCCCAAGCGCACTGCCAGGAGGGGGAGAACACACCAGCCAGGTGTGCATCTCTGCTGGTCTTCTACTCTTGAGTAGGCCTCCTGAACATCAGTTTCGGGTCCAGGGATTGGGGCCACAGGGCACCACAGGCACAGTTCCAGCAGAAGAACCGGGTGGTGTTTTTTTGTCCCGGTAAAAGGCTCCGGTAAAGGCTGGCAGCATGAAGCCATCTCTGGAAGGAAGAAACACAGAGAAACTGAGAGTAAAATAGCCTCTGTCTAAAAGCAAATATAATTGATTTATTAATCCCTTAAATCGTTCTCCAAATCCTAATCTTCTATAATCATTTTTAATACTGGCCATTCTACACAGTCAAATGTCTTAAAGATATCCAGTAATAGTATACCAGCTTTCGATTTACCGTATTTTTCGCCCCATAAGACGCACCTAGTTTTTTGGGGGGGAAATAAAGGAAAAATTTTTTATTTCCCCCCCAGGTGCGCTGCGCTACACCAGGAGCTTGGGGCGTGCGGAGCTCAGCGCGCCCCAAGCTTCTGCGTGCGCGCAAGCAGTCCGCTAGCCTTGGGAGAGCCGCGGGGCTCTCCCAGGGCTAGCGGATCGCGCTACACCAGGGGCTTGGAGCGTGCTGAGCTCAGCGCGCCCCAAGCTTCTGCGTGCGCGCAAGCAGTCCGCTAGCCTTGGGAGAGCCGCGGGGCTCTCCCAGGGCTAGCGGATCGCTGCGCTACACCAGGGGCTTGGAGCGTGCTGAGCTCAGCGCGCCCCAAGCTTCTGCGTGCGCGCAAGCAGTCCGCTAGCCTTGGGAGAGCCGCGGGGCTCTCCCAGGGCTAGCGGACCCCTGCGCTACACCAGAAGCTTGGGGCGTGCCGAGCTCAGCGCGCCCCAAGCTTCTGCGTGCGTGCAAGCAGTCCGCTAGCCCTGGGAGAGCCGCGCGGCTCTCCCAAGGCTAGCGGACTGCTTGCGCGCACCTAGAAGCACAGGCTGCCGCCCCAAGCCTCGCGCACCCGGTGGGACCTCCTGCCGGGTGCGCGAGGCTTGCAGACTCTCGCCCGAAGCAGGGGAAGCCCTCCCGAGGGCTCCCCGTGCTTCGGGCGACAGGCTGCCGCCCCAAGCCTCGCGCACCCGGTGGGACCTCCTGCCGGGAGCGCGAGGCTTGCTGACACTCGCCGGAAGCAGGGGAAGCCCTCCGGAGCGCTCCCCGTGCTTCGGGCGACAGGCTGCCGCCCCAAGCCTCGCGCACCCGGTGGGACCTCCTGCCGGGTGCGCGAGGCTTGCAGACACTCGCCCGAAGCAGGGGGAGCCCTCCCGAGGGCTCCCCGTGCTTCGGGCGACAGGCTGCCGCCCCAAGCCTCGCGCACCCGGTGGGACCTCCTGCCGGGAGCGCGAGGCTTGCTGACACTCGCCCGAAGCAGGGGAAGCCCTCCGGAGGGCTCCCCGTGCTTCGGGCGACAGGCTGCTGCCCCAAGCCTCGCGCACCCGGTGGGACCTCCTGCCGGGCGCGCGAGGCTTGCAGGCATTCGCCCCATAAGACGCACCCCGATTTCCCCTTCATTTTTGGAGGGGAAAAAGTGTGTCTTATGGGGCGAAAAATACAGTATTTCTTCTTATTATATCTGTTTTATTCAACACTCTACCTATTAAACTAGACATCTGTCTTCCTGCTAGTAAGCCACATTGGTTTTATTTAAATATTTATACATAAAATTGTTCATCCTTTTTGCCATTATTGCAGTCTACATTATATTATATTAATTTATATTTTATTTGATCCACATTGAGGGTGGAGGGGGTGGGTCACCAAAAGATCATGAGATGAAGCGGACACGGAGCAATGGTTCCAAACTACAAGAAAGAAGATTCCATCTAAACATTAGGAAGAACTTCCTGACAGTAAGAGCTGTTCGACAGTGGAATTTGCTGCCAAGGAGTGTGGTGGAGTCTCCTTCTTTGGAGGTCTTTAAGCAGAGACTTGACAACCATATATCAGGAGTGCTCTGATGGTGTTTCCTGCTTGGCAGGGGGTTGGACTTGATGGCCCTTGTGGTCTCTTCCAACTCTATGATTCTATTCTAGGTTCCACATCACCAAGTTAGCCACCTATCCCCTAGTCCTGGGAATGACGTGGTTCATGAAACCACGCCCCAGTAGTAGCGTGGGGGCAATGTTCCTTAACATTTTCTTCGGCCTACTGCCAAGCAAACTGTTTGGGGCTGGAAGCACCTAGAGAGGTGGGAGCCAAGGGGGCGGTGATAGGAGGGAAACTCATGGGAGAAGAGAGTTCCATATCCCTGCAGTATAGGGCCTATGGGGACGTGTTCTGTGAGAAAGAGGCAGATAGGTTACCCCACCCCCCAGACCCTATGACTGCAAAATAGACCTGGTGCCAGGGGGCCGAGATGCCCACTTGCCGTCTACTCCATGTCAGAAGCAGAATTAGCTGAACTGAGGGAGTTTTTGCAGAAGAATTTGGAACGGGGTTTATCCGGCTGACTAAGGCCGCAGTCAATACCCTTTGCTGCAGACTGGAGATTTGCTGGAGAGGTTGAGGTCAGCGAAAATTTTCACCAAGTTGCACTTGAGGGGAGCCTACAATTTGATACGTGTGAGGCAAGGCAATGAGTGGAAGACAGCCTTCAATACCAGACCTTTGCATACCTAGTGATGCTGTTTGGATTACAATTGGCCACTGCCACCTTCCAGGCCTTCATCAATCACGTACTGGCAGACCTTTTTGACAAATCGGTTTTGTCTTATCTTCATGATCTCTTGATCTACTCAGAGAGCCCTGAAGAGCACATACAACACATGATGGAGGTGTTGCAATGACTGAGGGCGCACAGACTATATGCAAGGTTGGAGAAATGCCAGTTCCACGTGAGAGAAGTGGAGTTTGGGGATATTGCGTGTCGCCGGACGGGGTGTACATGGATCGGGCAAAGGTGACAGCAGTGTTAGAGTGGCAGAAGTCTAAGACCAAGAAGGACTTACAAAGGTTCTTTGTCAACCACGTGTTCAAGCTGCATGGGTTGCTGTTGTGGGTGATTTCAGACAAAGGAACACAGTTTACCTCGCAGTTTTTGTGGAAGCTGATGCAGCCTGACCTCAGTGAGATACCCACAAACCAAAGGGGAGTCAGAGAGACCAATGCTACTTTGCAGCAATACCTTTGTTGCTATGTGACCTACCTGCAAGAAAACTAGGTGGACAAATTGGGACTAGCAGAGTTTGCATATAATAATGCAGTGCATACGTCCACCCAACAAACACTATTTCTGGCCAACTATGCAAGACATCTGAGAGCGTTTCCGGAGCCGTGGAGGCCTCTATTGGTGCCATCAGTGGAACAGTTCGTGGGAGAGATGTAGGCATTACAACAATTACTGAGGGACAGCCTTGAAGCAGTTAAAATAGCGTACAAGAGAAGTGCAGATGAGCATAAGCGGCAGGGGGAGGAGATCAAGGTGGGAGATAAGGTGTGGTTGTCCGCAAAGGACTTACCAACGAAGGGGAGGTGTAAGAAGTTAGAGGCAAGGCGGTTGGGGCCATTTGAAGTGATCCGAGCAGGTAAACCCTGTATTGTTCAAACTTAAACTGCCAACCACAATAAAGTTATATCCTGTGTTTCATAGGGCTCTCCTGTCACCATACGTGCCTGCACACCACTACCAGGAACCAAAGCAGCCCCCCCCCCTCTTCCAGTTATGGTGGAAGATCAGGAGGAGTTTGAGGTCCAAGAGATTTTGGATTCAAGGTTGTGTAGAAGACAGTTGCAGTATTTAGTGTCCTGGAAAGGCTGTGGCCCAGAGGAAAACTCCTGGGTAAGAAGCCAAGATCTGCATGCCCCAGACTTGCAGAGGCAGTTTCGCCATAGGTACCCCCACAAACCCAAGCCCAGAGGGTGGAGGGAAGAGACCGAGATCATCGAAGAAGCAGCTGAGGAGATTGAGGTATGCTGGGAACCTGAACCGAGAGAGCCCTCCATGGCAGGCAGTGAGGCAGAAGAGGAGGAAGGGGGGCTTAGAGTAGGGGGTGGTGTCAGCTCCATGCTGCCCATGATTCCACTGCCAGAGACTGAGAACACACGGAGGCAGGGGGACAAGATTAGGCTGGAATGCGAGAAGGGGCAGGAATACCCAAGCTGCAGTAAAAACCTGGCCTCTGAGAACAAAGAGTAGGAAGGGGGGAGCCCGAGGGGGGAAACACAGACTGTCAGTTTCAGCTCAGACTCAGAGACAGGGACACCGAAAACAGCCGATTCAAAAAATTGTAGGTTTGAGTTTGTGAGAAGCGGGAAAGAGAAAGAAAGAGAAAGTGGGGGCTTTGTTGCTGGAAAAGGAAGGGGCGGAGCTCAGACTTGGCAACAGCAAACTTGGGGGAACACGCTGAGGACTGAGCTCCACAATCCTTTATGTGTTTGAGCAATAAATCTGAGTTAATTACTACCAGAGTGTCTCGCATCTGTGGGAGAGAACCCCAAGCCATTACAGTTCAGTTATTTGCTCCGAAATTTCAAATATCTTACTGTTCTAGAAATTAGTCCTTTCTTTTTTCCTTCTGCTATTTAAATGCAAGAGGTCAAATCATTTCTAATTGTCCATTTTTGTTTTCACAAGCCTTTTGCTTGGAATTCTTTTCTGGCCGATAAGCTTGGTGTCCAGCCCAAAATTAAGGAGTTGTGTTTATTTTTTCACTATTCCAGATTACATTCATACTTGAAAAGTTTCTGTATTCTTTACTTCATAATACTTGTTTTTCAGAGTGAGAAATCCATATTTTAAAATATTTTCTCTGGGGGCTCTCTGTTTCTGCTGCTTAATCCATGACCAGCAGCCCCCGCCCCCCGTGGTTTTTTTTTACTTCCTGGGCGGGGAATTATTTTGAAAAAAAACAAGTGGAATCTGGCAGCTCTCTGTGCACATGCCTTGCTGGTACTAAATCAGCATGATTAGAATCAGTAAATTAGAAGACAGCAACAAATGCAGCAGGGAACACCAACTAGTATGAATGGGAAAGACTGAAGTTGCTCTCTTCATAGATAAATTCAGGTATTTGGGTGTGAGGACTACTCATCTAATTAGAACAGAGTAAATGTGCCAATTAACAGTCAGATCATGCTCAGATTTGGGCAAGACCAAAGGATCCAGCAAAAGAGGAACGATAAGACTGAGTTCAAGTACTCCTCCCTCTTAGAATAACACCAAGGAAAGGACAGACCATTTAATCCCAATGAAATACCAGCTCCCAACTCGTGCTTGAATTTGGTCCATCACAAAAGTTACCTTTCTGAGGATGTCTTCCGAATGACAGAACATCTGAGGAAGCAAAGAGATATAAAGACTGAGAGCTAGACTTCTATACCTCAAATAATTTTGTGACAACCTTTTCACTAAATGACATAATATCAATTGTTTCTTTATGTCAAGTACAATCTTAAGATATAGAACCAACAATTACACATAAGAAAACTGTACGAAGAGATAAAAATAAAAAAAATGTTAAACTAAGAAATGACAGAAACACTGCAATATCAATGTATTAAAAGGATCCAAGGGAGAGCTGTCCACAACCTTAACAGCTGCCCTAGGTAAACGGATGAAAAATCAATTATTGAAGTCAGAATTGTGAATCATAATGACAATTTAAACTTGCAGAGGAAAAATTTGCCTGACCAAACAATTAAAATTCTTTCAGATTCTTAACAAACATTTTGGTAGAAGCAAGAATGGGGCAGAAATTCAATTTATTTTGCATTCACATTTTCTGAAACAACATGGGAACTGAAGCACAGCAATCCTTCAAAACACACACTTATCTGAATTTTGCTATGCAGTTCTCCACCCGACTGATATATTAGGGGAAACTGCATAAAGCTGAATATGTTAGTGAAAGTCACCCACAAAATAGAATTCTCTTACTGAAAACTGCTTGAAGAATTGTGTACATAAGCCAAATATCTGTTTCTTAGTAGAAATTTGCTGATGAAATTTGCTGATGAATTTAGTGAGCATTAAAACACCAGCACCACCAGAAACTGCTGTAGAATAATAATAATAATAATAATAATAATAATAATAATAATAATAATAATAATTTATTATTTGTACCCCACCCATCTGGCTGGTTTTCCCCAGCCACTCTGGGCGGCTTCCAACAACGATGAAAATGTCACATATTAAAAACTTCCCTGAACAGGGCTGCCTTCAGGTGTCTTCTGAATGTCAGGTAGATGTTTATCGCTTTGACATCTGATGGGAGGGCGTTCCACAGGGCGGGCGCCACTACCGAGAAGGCCCTCTGCCTGGTTCCCTGTAACTTGGCCTCTCGCAGTGAGGGAACCGCCAGAAGGCCCTCGGAGCTGGACCTCAGTGTCCGGGCAGAACGATGGGGGAGGAGATGCTCCTTCAGATATACTGGACCGAGGCCGTTTAGGGCTTTAAAGGTCAGCACCAACACTTTGAATTGTGCTTGGAAACGTACTGGGAATTTATATTATAGAATTTATATTTCTACGTACTGTAGAAATATAAATGTCAAGAGATGCTGGTGAATTTTCAAGTAGATTTAAAAAACAAAACACCACAAGAACACCCAGGAGATCATGATGGTTGCAGCACTAGATATGTCAGCTGCTGGTGGGAGTCTGAGGAAGAAGAGAGAACTTATGGTAGGAGATAACTCCACAGCTGGGAACCAAGCTTGAGCTGGGAGTGGAGTAACGGTGTGTTTGTTAAGAGCCTTTCTAATGCCCTTCGGGATGGGAAAACATAAGTGGAGTATAAAGAACCAATATGAAAAGGAGGTTCAGTACAACTGTGAACTGAACACTGGAACAAAAATAAATCCTGACTTTGCTCTTATTGCTGTCTGTGGCAAGAGTAAATAAAATACAGTAAGAGTCTGGAATGTTCAACTTTCGGACTAATATATTGTCCAGTGTAAAATCCTTGCAATACCTTTGATTTCCTTCATCACAGCATACAGAATGGGATTTTTAACATGGAATTTTGAGATCCTCTTCTTCAACTTTGGTGTGAAAGCTTGTGGATCCTTAAATGTCTCCCTTTGCTGACACCTGCAGGGGAAAATAAACATTAACCCATTCAATTGCAGAATTTCTGAGTGCAGCAAAAGAAAGCAATTGAGAAGAGGAAAGAGAATGTAGAAAGCGGAGAGGGAGACACAAAGGAATGGAGGCACAGAGGAGAGAAGGTTCCTCCTTACTAGGGACTCCAAAGCCAGACATCTGAGGGCCAAAGGAGCAGCCCCAGGTCTCCTCAGTTAAATCTACTCAACTGGAGAAATAAAATCAAGAGATACCATCCTGCTTGGAGCTTTTCAATTTCGGCTGCAACATGCAAGAAAAATTTGGAGGAGAAAAAGATGATTGCTGCTGTTGACAAACGTGAAATGTTCCTTCTATGCTCTTATCATGAACCCGTGTGACACCTTGAAGTTACGTATTGCAACTGAGATATGTTCAGGAACATGGCACACACCTCAACTCCTGCTCCCTTGTTGGAACCTTTCACCACATCCTAAGAGCCTGGAGGGGCAGGTTTTATTTCCTGTCCTCCTGGACCTTTCCCAGTTTCACAGAGTGATATTAATGGAAATGAGCAGGATTCACTTACCTCTGCAAGGTTCTTCTCACATCCTAGAAGGGAAAAGAGGAAAAGAAGAATGGGATTCACTGCCTACCACAGGCTGTATAATGAAGACCCATCAGACCCTGAAAGGGATGCCCTCTGGCCCTCTGAGGTGCGTCTGCCTAACAAACTCCAAAGTTTTGGATAGGGATGGATGAATCTAACCATTTCAATTTATCTCAGTTTTTATCTTTCTGATCTTGTTCAGTTCCCCAGAATAGTTTCTGATTATTATTTTTTTAAACCTGATGAAAATTCATGGGATCTTCTCCTATGTTTTTCCAAGGTATCCATAGTATATTGGCCACAGGAGAGTTTATGAATAATGGTTCCAGCTGAAAGAGTTTCATTTCCAATTTCTGAGATTTCCTTAAATTTAACCACGTGAGCTGGACAACTTCATACTATTTAGCTATATTAGGGACTGCCAGTCCTCCTTTCTGCATAGGAGTCTGTATTGGAATAGTATCCACTCTCAGGTCTTTCCTTTGCCAAATAAAATTGCCAAATAAAGTGCTGGTTTTGACTTACAAAGCCTTAAATGGCTCAGGGCCACAATACCTCAAGGACCGCTTCTTTCCATATGAACCTACCCTGACATCATCTTCTGAGGCCCTTATTCATGTGTCCCCTCCACGAGAAGTCCAGAGAGTGGCCACATGAGAATGGGCCTTTTCTGTGGTGGCTCCCTATTTGTGGAATGCTCTCCCCATTATACACCTGTAGGCGCCAGGCAAAAACATTCTTCTTTAACCAGGCCTTTGGTTGATTGTCATCCAATGACCTTTCAAAATGTGTTTTTTGAGGGGTCATTGAGTTGTTTCTGTTTTTATATGGATTATGTATTCTGTGCTTTTATATTTTTTATTTATATTTTTATTTTAAACAATATTTATATTTTTTGTGTATTGTAATTTTATCCTGTGAACCACCCTGAGACCTCCAGGTATAGGGAGGTATATAAATTTAATAAAGAAACAAATAGTTGTCCAAGCATCTTTTTTTCCCCCTCTGGAGCTTTCCCTGCAAAAATCTGCTCTTTAAAGCTGAATCAAAGCAAATGGCAATCCACAGAAGAACTGAATTGCCTTTTGTTGCTTTAAAGAGTGAGTTTTTGTGGGGAAGTTCTGTTGGGGAAAGAAAAGAGCACTTTGGCACTGCCTGGAAAGAGTGAGGCAAAAGGTCAGTGTACTTAAACTCTGAGAGAGGAACTTTGGGCTGTTCCTGCCATAGTCTCACCTGCAGGAGTTCACTCACTGGCTGCTGACTCTTCTCCTCCATCTCCCGGATGAGGCTGTCAAGAGAGGAGAGTTCCTCGGAGAGTCCAGCCAGGTGCTTCTCCCTTCTTCTTGTGATCTCCTTCTCCATCTCTTCTATTTCATTCAGCAGGCGCTTTTCTTCTTCTTCCAGAAACTGGTGCAGTTGTCTGAACTTCTCCACTGTATTCCTCTTCTCAGTTTCTGTTAATTTCTGCAAGAACCAGGAAGAAAGAGGAAAAGAGGAAGCAATAGTGTTTTGAAAGACCTTCATTAACAATGTTATGTTAAATTGTTAAATTGTCAGCAATGGGGCTACATCATGACTTGAAGAACCAAGTACTTGTCCCCTTTGTAGTAATGGTGACACTTACAAGCAGGTTGTTGCTTTCCTTTCCCATGTTTGCTTCGTAATCCAGAATTTGCTCTCTCTCTTTCCTCAGATGCTTCAGGTGATGACAGATGATTGTCTAAAGAGGAAACAAAATCTAAGATTTGATTAGGGCTCCAGGCCCTAATTAATATTATGCTTACTTCTAGTACCTGGGCCCTACTATTCAATTTTTGCTTAATAATTGCTCTGGGAGTTTCTAGGGTTTTTTTATGTACACTAAAAAAAATATTTGAAGCTACCAGCATGAGTTTGACTAAACTGCGGGAGGCAATGGAAGACAGGAGTGCCTGGCGTGCTCTGGTCCATGGGGTCACGAAGAGTCGGACACAACTAAACTACTAAACAACAACAACAAAAATCTAAAGCATGAGAACTTTCATTTCTTTATTCTTATTACAGTTCATCATTATGATTACATTACGCAGGGAGCCTTTGGCATAGATGCAGAAAAACAGTGCTTTTAAAAACAAAAACACATTTTAAAAAGTTGCCTTTGAAGCAGAGCAAAGTGTTTGTTTGTTTTTGAAAAGCACAGAGACTAAGCCCAATTTTTGATCCACATTAAGGTGCAGATTATTATTTATTTATTATGTTTACTTTATTATTATTTATTTATTATGTTTACTTTATAGCCACATTGACAGCATATTCTGCACACAGAGACACAGAAAGATACGAAAGGGTTGTGTTAGCAAGTGCCAAAATGACTTCCTACCTTGTATTCATGGGCAGCCTCTTCCTTGAGAACCACAGTGTGCGATTTATGTTCTGGGGATCGCTCACAAACCCAACACACCAATTCTTCATCTTCTTTGCAGAACAAGTGGAGTTTTTCCTCATGTTTCTTACACAGATCCTTTTCCCCTTTATTTGGTGGCAGGAGTTTAATTTTTTCCACTATATTGGCCAGCTGCCAATTGGGGCGGAAATTCCCTCTCTGCATCCGGGCTTTGCAGATGGGACACTCCAAGTCCCCAATGTGTTCCCATGTGTCAAAATACTTTACAATGCAGTCCCGGCAGAAGTGACCACAGGCCAAGGTCACAGGGTCTGTCAGATACTCCATACAGATGGGGCATGTGGCTTCTTTTCCGACATCCGTGGATGAGGATGAGGCCATGATGGAGGAAGAGTCTGTGGCTTTGTTGAGATGAGAGGTAGCAGGATGTGAATGAACTTGAGAGTGGGGAAAATGCCTGTAAGGTAAAAACTATTCAGTATTAATCGTTTTCACATCCTTCCAGTAAAACTAACTCTGCATTTCACTTTCTTATGAAACGTATCCACCACAATTGGTCATGTTATACAAATTTTAAGGTGCTCGCACATAGTAGGCACACACTTTAAAAAATTAGGAAATACTCCCAGAAAAACTAGAAATTCTATTTGAGTGTATAAAATTTACACAGTTCACAGAGCAAGAGCGAGGCTGCCTTTAGTCTCCAGTTGAACTGTGGGACCCCTCCATGTAGGTAGAAGGAACTTCTTGGTAAAATCATTCTTCCACAGCCTGGCAAGGCTTTATACTTTCAAATCACTCTATTTGAAAAGGGGCCAGTCTGTGTCAATAAACTCTGACACCATTTCCAAAGGATGCTCTGGCAAGCCCCGGAAAAACAATTAGCATGTATTGTTCAGATCTCTGAGTGACACATTTGTAAACATGTTTGACAAACATAATATTCTGAGCATAGTCTGATTTACAAGTAGAACCCTTTTCTGTGTCGTTTGTACAGGCAACTCCCCGTCCACGTCATCATAGGCACCGACTCCATGGGGCCTGAGGGGGCCCGAGCCCCCTCAAAAATTTGTTTGGGGGGGCTCCGCCCCCAATAATTTAAGAAAATTATTAGGCACCTTGCCAAAAACCGCGCAGGGGACTCCGGCGTGCGCCTCCCAAAGTGACCGGGAGCTCCTGAGAAGGGGCGGGCAGGTCGGTCAGTCAGAGGAAGACCCCCAGCGGCGGGACTTTAGAAAGGAATGGAGCCGCGGGGCCGAGGAACGGCGTATTCGTCGCCGGCGAGGGACCGGGGTGAGGGGAGAATGGAGGGGACAGGAGTTCCCGAAGCCGGAGCGGGGCTTTTTTTCTGGGTTCGGCTAAGGTGACGTTGGTAGGAGGGGGTGGCCGCCTCCCGGCGCGAAGCCTGGGGAGGGCAGGCCGGTTCTTGCATGCAAAAGCACCACTGCCATCCTGCCGCCAGTATGGACCCCGGTATGGGCCCCCCCAATATTTTTTATAAGTCGGCGCCCCTGCACGTCATCCCCCATGTTGGCAGAGTGCATGCAAGTCCGTCCCCATTCTGGGCCAAAAACAGTGTGTGCACATTTGCATGCCAATCAAACACACACAAAATGCTTGGTACCTGTATGATGTCTCTTACACAGATCCTTTCCCCCTTTATTTGGTGGCAGGAGTTTAATTTTTCCCACTATATTGGCCAGCTGCTATAATTTTTCCCACTATATTGGCCAGCTATTACAGATGTAGCCACAAGCAGAGGTTCGGTGTGTGCCCCCCCCCCCGCCGCCAACTGCTGCTGGGTGAGTTGCATTTCTCTCCACCCACTTCCTTTCCCCAGGCTTGCAGAAACACCCATTTCCTCTCCCTCTTGCCTCCCCTCCCTGAAGACTGGACACCTGCCCTTAAAAACTGGGGGGGGGGGGCGACAAACAAGCACTCTTCAAGTTTACCTGGCCAAACTTTTTTTTGAAATCACATTTAAGTTTTGCAAAAACCCAGTCCTCTTTTCCTAGCTGAAAGTTCCCCTTTTGTAAAGAGAAATAGGAAACCCCCGTTAACCCTTGGTCCGCCTGAGTTTCTGCTTCGCTCCATTTCTGCAGGGGGAAAAGGGCAGGGGGCTTTTGCTGGGGCTGCCAAGGGCGAGGCTGAGCGGATGCCGTTTTGTTCAGGAATGGACTTACCTACCAGGCAGGAGCCTCCACCGCCAGCTCGTCACGAAGGAGAGGAAGTGAGCCGAGTCGCTTTCGATTTCGGGTGTTGTTTATCTTCTCCCCCGTTTCCTTGCTCCCTCCCACTCCGGAGATCGAGGGAAAGCAACGCATTTCCCTGCCAAGAAAAGCTGCAAGTTTCGGTCAAGATTGAAGCTTTCCTTGTTGGGCCGAATTGCTGCTATAAAGATGAATGTATTGCCAAAAATGCTGTTTCTATTTCAGACCCTACAGATTGTGGACAAGGTGTAGTGTTTCAGGAAGTGGCAGAGAGACATCTCTAAATTTGTCTGGCAGGGCAAAAAGCCCAGAATAAAGTTTAAAATATTAACCGATGCCAAGGAAAGAGGGGGGTTTGCCCTGCCAGACTTAAGGTTGTATTACGAATCAGCAGCTTTCTGCTGGTTGAAAGATTGGCTGCTTCTGGAGAACACTGATGTTTTGGATCTGGAAGGATTTAATAATGCTTTTGGATGGCATGCATATCTGTGGTACGACAAGGTAAAAGTTCATAAGACTTTTAAGAACCATATTGTCAGGAAAGCAGTGTTTAATATCTGGACAAAATACAAAGACTTATTAGAAAACAAGACCCCAAGGTGGTTGTCACCAATGGAAGCTAAGGCCCGGAAAAGACTCAATATGGAGGCCAAATGGCCGAAATATTGGGAAATATTAGAAAAAGATGGAGATACTTGGAGATTGCAGAGTTTGGAGAAATTAAAGGATAAAGTGCGAGATTGGTTACATTATGCTCAGATTAAGGAGGTTTTTAATTTGGACAAAAAGATAGGTTTCCAGGTGGAAAAATCGAAACTAGAAACAGAACTGTTAGAACCTAAGACTAAGGTACTTTCAAAAATGTATAACTTGCTGTTAAAATGGAATACACAAGATGAAACGGTCAAATCAGCTATGATAAAATGGGCACAGGACATTGGGTACAACATTATGTTTGCTGACTGGGAAAGGTTATGGACCACCGGTGTGAAGTTCACGGCATGTAATGCCTTGAAAGAAAATATTATGAAAATGATTTATAGGTGGTACATGACCCCAGTCAAGCTTGCAAAAATATATCACTTGCCTGATAATAAATGTTGGAAATGTAAGGGAACTGAAGGAACATTCTTTCACCTCTGGTGGACCTGCCCTAAGGTTAAGGCATTCTGGGAAATGATTTATAATGAACTGAAAAAGGTATTTAAGTATACCTTCTCTAAGAAACCAGAGGCCTTCCTTTTGGGTATTGTTGGCCAGAGGGTGTTAAAGAAGGACCGAACTTTCTTCATGTACGCAACAACAGCAGCAAGAATACTTATCGCAAAACATTGGAAGATCCAAGATTTGCCCACACTGGAAGAATGGCAGACGCAACTGATAGACTACATGGAATTGGCAGAAATGACTGGCAGAATTCGAGACCTGGGAGAAGAGGCAGTGGAAGAGGACTGGAAAAAGTTTAAGGACTATTTACAAAAACATTGTAAACTGTATGAGTGTTAAGAAGATGCAGGATAGAAAACAACACGGCACCAGCAATCTAGCTGAATGATATATGAGAATAAGTGAGGTTTAAGAGAAAGATGAAGTTTGGTATAATATTATGTCTAAATTAAGTATTTAAGTTTTTGATAAAAATATTTAAAGTCGGAGACATGATATTTGAAAATTACAAAATAAGAGTTGAAATAAGGTGATAAATTGCTGTTTATAATTTTATAATTGGGAACGCAGGAATGGGAGATGTGAGGAAGTCCAAAAGGTCATGGAAATATGGTTTTCAGACATTTGATTTTGTTGTATTTCTTTTCTACTCTATGTTAACTTTCTTGCTTTTTTCTGTTTTGCTTTGTGTGTTGTATTCTGGTGATGGTAGTATAAGTGGTGATCATAATGTGAAAATCTTTCAATAAATATCTTATAAAAAGAAAAAGAAAAGCTGCAAGTTTCTCTCCATACCAAGTTGTTGACTGTGGGAAGATGGAGCCAGGTGAGGCTGGCCTCTGCTCTGACCCACCTGCAGTGGCGTAGCTAAGGCTTTTACTGCCCAGGGCGGTCAATGAGTTTGCCGCCCTTCTTGCTATTCCTCATGTGGGAGTCCTGTCAATTTGACAAGGTCCTCCCCTCCCCTCCGATTGTTCTTCCCTTCTCTCCCCCCACCCGCACCACTTCCCAAGGGGTGGGAAGGAACTCAATTCCTGTCACCTCACACTCCACTTCTTCTTTGCTTTACTTAATGCCTCATCATGTTCTTTCTTTGTTTCTCTTGCTTCAACCACAGACAGAGCTCAAGCACCTATTCCTGCCTGGCAAAAGCACCCAAGAATAGTGCAAAGCAGGAGCAATAAGGGAGGATGTAACCTCTCATACCTGCATGCTGCTTCTGTGAACAGCCATAAGTACAGTGCTCAAGTACAGTGGATTTAAGTGGTGTCATAGGTGTCATAGGTGCCTGCTCTGCGTCTGCAACAAGCCCCATTGGGCCTTTTCGCTGCCCGCTGCAGGTGTGGTAATAACAACAACAACAACAACAATTTATTATTTATACCCCGCCCATCTGGCTAGGTTTCCCCAGCCACTCTGGGCGGCTTCCAACAGAATATTAAAATACAATACAGTGGTACCTCAGGTTACATACGCTTCAGGTTACATACGCTTCAGGTTACAGACTCCACTAACCCAGAAATAGTGCTTCAGGTTAAGAACTCTGCTTCAGGATGAGAACAGAAATCATGCTCTGGCAGCGTGGCGGCAGCGGGAGGCCCCATTAGCTAAAGTGGTGCTTAAGAACAGTTTCAGGTTAAGTACGGAGCTCCGGAACGAATTAAGTACTTAACCTGAGGTACCACTGTAGTCTATTAAACATTAAAAGCTTCCCTAAACAGGGCTGCTTTCAAATGTCTTCTAAAAGTCTGGTACAGTGGTACCTCGGGTTACAGGCGCTTCAGGTTACAGACTCCGCTAACCCAGAAATTGTACCTCAGGATGAGAACAGAAATCGTGCTCCAGCAACGCGGCAGAAGGAGGCCCCATTAGCTAAAGTGGTGCTTCAGGTTAAGAACAGTTTCAGGTTATGAACGGACCTCCAGAATGAATTACCGTAAGTTCTTAACCCGAGAAATCACTGTAGTTGTTTTTCTCTTTGACATCTGGTCGGAGGGCGTTCCACAGGGCGGGTGCCACTATCGAGAAGGCCCTCTACCTGGTTCCCTGTAACTTGGCTTCTTGCAGCGAGGGAACCGCCAGAAGGGTTAGGGTTGGAACTATCCCAGATTAAATGAATATGATGTACAAGAGGCAGAGAAGATTATCCAGCAATGCAAAGTGGGGGGGGGGAGTGTAGGGAGTGATCTGGCCCCACTCTTTGCATAGAGAATTGGGGTGCTGCAAGGTGAAAAAATGGGGCCATATTTTCACCTGTGAAATGCTGTTGGGTGTGGATGTCTACTGTCTCTCCCCCAGGAGCCACTGGAGGGCCAGGTTACATGGACTGGGGTGCTGAACCCTTCCTGGCCTTGTGGAGCAATGCTAATACAAATGAACAGGACCCACTTACCTCTGCAAGATGCCTCTCACATCCTAGAGGAGGGAAAGAGAGAGAGAAGGGAATTCACTGCCTACCACAGGCTCCAGTATGAAGACTGCTCAGACCCTGGAATGGATGCATTCTTGACACTTTGAAATCAGTCAGCCTAGCCCACACCAGGGTTTGGGGTAGGGATAGGTGAACCAGCCAATTTTAATTTCTGTCAGTTTCCTTCAGTTCCCCAGATATCCATATCAGTTTAATTTTAACAGAGACTAAATTAATATTCTAAAATGTAAAACAGAAAATGTAATAAAAATTATAGGGGGGAAATTAAATTAATTAGCATTATTGCATGAATTTCTCATACATGTTTCTATGCAATTCTGCATAACATTCACATCCAATTCTGTGTGCAAAAAACTTAACTTCAGCACACTTTTCATTGTGCAGTTCACACATACCTAAACCTGCAGATTAGTCCTTTTAGGGCCCAAATAGTCACCCATACACCATCCCCAAATTTCAGCCCATTACCCCTTACCATTTCAGATAAAGTTTGCTATGGCACCGTGGAAGAGAAAGAATTAAACTCACCCACCTGCCACCCGGCTTCTCAGCTGCTATTAAACAGCATGTAAGCGGTGCCCGTACAATTAGCCTAATTTGGGCTGGATAATGACTCGCTGGGTGAATCTACAGAAAACGTCCCAAGAAAAATCCACAGCTATCCATTGCCCTGTTAAGATTTCAGAGTGATTTCCTACATTAAACTCCCTGGAAGCCTCCTCCAGAGGGATCACCTTGTGGTTTTCATGCTCCCTGGACCTGTCGCACACCACACAGATGGGGGTTTGGTCCTCCTTGCAGAAGAGCTTCAGGGGCTCCTGGTGCTTCTCACACATTCCCCTCCTCCCCTCTTGAAGGCTGAGCTTCTTGGTTATTTCTACAAAGTTAGCCAGTTTCCGATTGGGAGCGAGACTCCTTGGCTGAACTGCATTTCTGCACTGAGGGCAGGAAGGCTGTGAGCCCACCACCCCAGAGTACCGGCTCAAGCAGCCTCGGCAGAAATCGTGCCCACATGTAGTGGTCACTGGATCCTTGAAGAAATCCAGGCAGATGGGACAGGTGGCTTCAGCACAGAGATCCTGGACGGGACCCCCAGAACCAGCCATGGCTCTGCCTCACAGTGAAGGCACAGCTGACTTTCACTTTCTCAGTTTTCAGCTTCAGGGAGTTTCCCTGCCTGCAAATGACTCAGCATCTCAGAACTGACTCGATTGGCTGTTGCTGTTTATATTCTGGCAGGCCTGCACAGCTGCTTAACATTGTTTTGCATTGCTTTTAATGCCTGTGTATTCTTGCAGTGTGCTGCCTTGAGAGGGTGATGTGTAAATCATTTTATGAATAAATATGAGAACGGAAATCATTGACATTGTAGGGGAGGCAGCCTCTGCTTTAAGAAAGAAGTGCTTAGTGGTGACTGCCTTCTTCTCCTGGCATAGACATCTTATGTCCCCTGCTCTGCTCTGGGATCTGATCTGGCTGGGAGCTTCAGACACCAGGCCCACTGGCAGACTTCCTCTGTGTTACAGAGATACAGTGGTACCTCTGGTTAAGTACTTAATTCGTTCCGGAAGTCCATTCTTAACCTGAAACTGTTCTTAACCTGAGGTACCACTTAAGCTAATGGGGCCTCCCGCTGCTGCCGCGCTGCTGGAGCACGATTTCTGTTCTCATCCTGAAGCAAAGTTCTTAACCCGAGGTACTATTTGTGGGTTAGCGGAGTCTGTAACCTGAAGCGTATGTAACCCAAGGTACCACTGTATCTGCAAACATGACATGAAGGCTGGCAACATTAACCCCTGGATGGACGCCAGCCGAGTCCCCAGGAGGAGCACGCTCCGGAGAGTCTGCAGGTGCAAAGGGAGAGTGGGGAGCGCAAGCGGGATTCTCCCGTTGCGATTCCTCCCTTCTCCTTTCCTGTATTGGTCTCTACAGCCACAGCAGGCGCTGTAACCTTCTGAGTTTGACTTAAGCCCCAAAGGCTCACTCATCCATTGTCTCCCTAGACAGATGGGTGCCAGCTTTGAATTTATTAAAATAGTGGGTAGAATGGGTTTTTCTTTGTCTTTTTTGACTATGATCCTCAGCCCACATTCACCCAGAGTCGGAGCTCTCAGCAATCATCCCACTCCAACACAAAGTGCAAACACTCCCAGGATATATACATATTCCTTTTATTGTGTAATTGGGATGATATCTCTCTGGGAACTCATGCAATCCTAGTTTCAAGACCATTTCTGCCTACAAATGTTTGCAGTGGTCATAACTTCTTCATTTCTTATCAGTCCATGTCCTGCTGCTTCCTTCAGAAATTCCATAAATTTTCATGCCAGAAATGTTCTGTTGTGATTTTCTATTTGGTCCCCTTTTGTTTCATTACAGTCCAGGAGCGCCTTTCCAAATGGCAATAACAGAGAAATATTCTGGAAATATTGCAGAATAGCTACTGAAGCACAGTGGGTGTGTGGATAGTCTAGCGTCAATCCACGACTAAGGCACTATTATTGCATCAATGACACATCACATTTTACACCCACAAAAAGTTGAGGGGCTCCTCAACAGCATGCAATGGAGGTTTAGGAGCTTTTCTTTAATACTGCTTCTTTTTTCAACTTGCATATACCTCCCAAATAACACAAATTTGAAATCCATAAAATACAAAAAAAGATTGAAAATAAAACAAAAGTTGTTCCCCAAAAAAACAAAAACTAATGTAAAACCTTAACGACAGCATAAGATCATGAACAATTATCAGAGCATCAGAAACCAGCAACAGAGAAAACAATATATTTTTAAAGATTAAAGTATATTAAACTAGTTACTAAAAGCCAGGGGGTGGGGGAGATCCTGCCAATTTTGAAAAAAAATATCATTGGGGGTACATCCCATAACCAAATTGGGGACCACAGCAAAGTCTCCATGTGCCTTACATAGGGCACACATAGCCAAGTTGCTGGACTACAACTCCCATCATCTCTGACTCCTGACCATGCTGGCTGGGGCTGATGGGAGTTGTAGTCCAACATCATCCAGGACACACCATGTTGGCTACCCCTGATGCAGAGAATCCAATTGTTAATACAAAAGATTAATGAAGCAATCCCAAAAACAATGAGCCAGAGGCCTCACAGAATTCAGAGATACTTATGTCTGAGGAAGTGTAGAGGTGGTGAGGATAAAATTTGCAGGGGGGGGGGGAAGAAGAGTGTTAAGTTGGTGCTATAGTTGGAAGGAAATGCAAACAATATGTGTGAGGTAACAACTTAAAATGAGCTTTAGTAGCAAAAGCGGGAAGGGACTGTTTTCTAGGAATACGTGTGTATTTTAATAGTTGGTGTAGGCAAGCAATGAAAAGAAGATTAAAGTTGGTGGAGGCTGAACCCTTTTGATGAACAGATTGTTAATTGACACAGTTAAAGTGTTATGGTTTGTTAAGGACTCAGCTGCAGAGGAAATTCTAGGAAAGGGAAGGAAAGAGAAAATCCCAAGTTTTGTTTCTTTTCTTATTTCTGCTGATTGTGACGCCCTCTCAAAGGTTCTCTGCAAACATATCAAAACTGGCAAATGTTTTCATCTCAGTCATTCTGGTGTGGAGAGAAACTCCAACTGGGCCTGAGAGGCCGATTTCATCTCCTCAGGAGATACTGAGGTGGGTTTCATTTCCCCCCAGATAAAAGAAAGGGAGGAGGGTCTCTCTGGAGAACGAGGCCCCTGAGAATGTGTGGAGTTCGGCTCCTGAGTCAGCATCAGAAAAAGACACACGTCCCACTTCATAGTCCAGTGTCACCCGGATCCTCTTGGGCTCCTCACTCAGGGACAGAGGAGAGGAATCAGGGGAGGTGAAGGCAAAGTACTCACCTCCTGATTTCTTCACAGCCCAGATCCCTCCCTCAGAACCTAAGTCAGTTAAGGAAGCATGCATTACTAAACGTGACCAGAAAAAGGTGAGATTACCCTTTCTCCTCACAGACTTCCTGGCAACCCCCAGAGCCCACCATTCCCCACTTTCCATAGTGACTTCCCAGAAATGTCTGCCTGCTGTGAATCCCTCACATCCCAACACACAAGGCATGTCACTGAATCTCTCAGGATTGTCAGGCAGGTCTTGCAGTTTGGCTCCATATCTCACACTTTTCCGATCCTCGGACAGGATGAGCCTTGGATGGGCTGTGTCTGGATCCAGAGTGACATTTGCTGTTGGGGAGAAGATGAGGGAAAGAGAAGAGAGGCAGAATCAGCCTAGAGTCTGAGATGGACATCCTGATCCAAGAAACACCCAGAAGAACCAGATTTCCTCTCAGATAAATGGGCGTCCTCACATTTCATTCAGGATTGGGACCCTCCCTCCTTTCTGCCAGACTCACCTCAGAATAAATTCCTTCCCAGCAGGTTTTTAAATAATGCTATTTTGTTCCTTTTTACTCAACATATTTTATTGTGTCCCTCCTGTCAATCCAGTCATGAAGCAAAACAACCCAGAAAATATTCCCTAAGCTCTTCTATGCAGTGAAGGGGAGGAGGAAGGGATGGGGGCAAGAGGAGAAAAATGATTCTCCTTTGAATCACTCGTTGTGAATTGCCCATTTGGGGCTTTCAGAGGCTTACATTGAAATCAGAGGGAAGAAATCAATGTAGGCAAGATTTGCATGCCCCAGACTTGCAGAGGTAGTTTCACCATAGTTTCACCACAGAGTAGGAAGTGGGGAGCCCAAGGGGGAAAACATAGACTGTCAGTTTCAGCTCGGACTCAGAGACAGGGACACCGGAAATAGCTGATCCGAAAAATCATAGGCTCGAGAGAGTCTGTGAGAAGCGGGAAAGAGAAAAAGAGAAAGTGGGGGTTTTGTTGTTGGAAAAGGGAGGGGCAGAGCTCAGACTTGGCAACAGGAAATTTGGGGGAACACGCCGAGGACTGAGCTCCACAATGCTTTATGTGTTTGAGCAATAAATCTGAGTTAGTTACTACCAGAGTGTCTCGCATCTGTGGGAGAGAACCCCAAGCCATTACAGTTCAGTTATTTGCTCCGAAATTTCAAATATCTTACTGTCCTGGAAATTAATCCTTTCTTTTTGCCTTCTGCTATTTAAATGCAAGAGGTCAAATAATTTCTAATTGTCCATTTTTGTATTCACAAGCCTTTTGCTTGGAATTCTTTTCCAGCCGATAAGCTTGGTGTCCAAAATTAAGGAGTTGTGTTTATTTTTTCACTACTCCAGATTACATTCCTGCTTGAAAAGTTTCTGTATTCTTTACTTCATAATGCTTGTTTTTCAGAGTGAGAAATCCATCTTTTAAAATATTTTCTCTGGGAGCTCTCCGTTTCTGCTGCTTAATCCATGACCAGGAGCACCCCCCCTTGTGTTTTTTTTTCTTCCTGGGCAGGGAATTATTTTGAGAAAAACAAGTGGAAGGGGGCAGCTCTCTGTGCACATGCCCTGCTGGTATTAAATCATCATGATCTGAATCAGCAAATTAGAAAATAGCAACAAATGCAACAGGGAACACCTAGTGGTATGAATGGGAAAGACTGAAGATGCTCTCTTCATAGATAAATTCAGGTACAGTGGTACCTAGGGTTACATACGCTTCAGGTTACATACACTTCAGGTTACAAATTCCACTAACCCAGGAATAGTACCTCGGGTTAAGAACTTTGCTTCAGGATGAGAACAGAAATTGTGCTCCGGCGGCGCGGCAGCAGTGGGAGGCCCCATTAGCTAAAATGTTAGACCTTTTCTTTGTTCCTTTATCTTGGAGCATCAGAAATCGCTTCAAAGAGTCAATTAGACAGCAGTAATATCATTTATTTTTGCCATGACAAAAAAAGGTACAGACAGGCTGATGTTCATTGCCTGCTGCCCCCGAATTCTGAGCGAGCCAGCTTTTTATACATTTGCAGAATACAATACCATCTGATTTCTTGTAAACCAAAAGTTATGGCAACTTCCTATGTCCTTATGTTATGTACTGAGTTGAATAGGATCCAAACTGCAGCAATCTGATTGGTCCTAGAACAATAGGATCCAAATTGCAGCAGTCTGATTGGTCCTAGAACAATGCAGCAGTATGATTGGTTGGCAGGAACCACCCAATCATGCTCCAGATATAAGTGAATCCACAACCTGATTGGCTTACAGTAGAATTCCAGAATTAGCCAATCATGTGCAGCCCATTGTGTAAATAATGTATATAAAGCAGATACTTTGAGGGGACTTTCATTCATTCCTCCTCACCACTATGAGCTGAATAAAGAGCATGAAATCACTTTGCGACTCTGAGTATATTTCACCTTACATGGGCTTAAACCCCCCTTCCTTCCTGCAATGGCCTCACAAGCCTCTGCTTATCTCTTTACAACCTTGAAAAATAAACATTTGAGCCTGTTCCATTAATGCCAGTCTTGTTCTCCCCAGACATTCCAAAGAGAGGCCCATTTTACTGTAACATTTGAGAGAGGAGAAAATGCCTAAAAGAGTTTTTGGGATCATATAGAGAACAATATTCTAATGGTGCTTCAGGTTAAGAACAATTTCAGGTTAAGAACGGAGCTCTG